CTCACTTGCTTATTTTCTCATCCTACATTATCCTAAATGTACCACACAAACACGCTGCTCCCCTCCCCCCACTCCTAGCTGGCAGCTGGGGACACGCTCATCAGTTGAAGCCATTTACCAGTATAGACCCAGCAAAACCCAGACAGGCCCAAACTCCTGATTTCAGCATCCGCGTGGCAACTGTGGCAACAATTCTTTTCAGATACACACAGAGAAAATGTGAATGTGCTCTTTGGTGGCTCTCTGACATAGAATCCTTAAAGGACGCTCACTATAGGAAAAGGAAAAAGAAATCTCAAACCAAAAGAAAGATTTTACATCAAGTGTACAGGGCTGGAGAGGGGAGTGTGGAGCGTGGCGTGATGAGGACCTAGTGTGCTAGTGAAGGACCCTTCCTTTTCATCGTTTCCAAATGCCTATGAATTACACCAAAATTAAACTAGAATTCATATACTAGTATTACTTTGTTCTTCTACAGGAAGCCTCCCTCTTCTTTGTACAGACAGAAAACCCCTTAACTTGGCAAACTACAATATCTCAGAGGCTGCATGGTCTCCTTAAAAATGAAGAAACTTTAAAAGATAAATCAGATCATATTCCTGTCTTGCCTGAAAAGCTTCAATGATGTCCTGCTGCTCTGCAGATAAGAATCCACGTTCCTGCTCTGGCCAACTGGGCTTTGCTGGCTCTGGTTCCTCCATTTCTACCCAGCATCACTTCCCTCCAGCCCCCCACAGCCCCAAGGCTCCTGGCAGCCAGGTGTCCCCACAGTGCCCACGGGCCCATGGTCCCCTGCACCTGAACTCCCTTCCTTCCATGCTTTGCAGGCTCTCCATCCCTGTCTTCCTTTTGGCCTCCCCCAAACCCCCACTTAAAGTGGGCTCCCCCAGCCCTTGTTTCCTCTCTTTGTCCTCTTCCTTTGCTTTCTTCACAGTACTCCTTCCAACCTGCAATTTATTACTTTTATTTTTTTATTTTTAAAATAGAGACAGGGTCTTGCTATGTTGCCCAGGCTGGTCTTGAACTCCTGGCCTCAAGCAATCCTCCTGCCTCGGCCTCCCGAAGTGCTGAGATTACAGGTGTGAACCACTGTACCTGGCCCAAACTGCAAGTTTTAAATTTTCTATTTTTCAACTGTTTTCACCACTAGAACACCAGTTACATGAGGGCAAGAAACATGCTTGTCCTGTTCACAGCTGTGTCCCTAACACCTGTCAGTGTGGAACAGTGGCAGGTACTCAGTGAATATGACTTGCAGATTCACCTGCCCCACCTGAGAAGATGGCCCTATTCCTCCAACTCTTATTTAACAGAAAACTTTCTGCAAAAGAAAAAAAAAAGAATCTGTAAGAGTAATTTTTTGAATGTTAATATTGCCTTTTTTCCTACTCTAGGAAGTGACATTTACTATTATGGTAAATATTCTTTACTGTGAGTGTTCAAATCATTCACAATTTTCTTACTCCTATAAATGCAGCATACGTAACCCTCACCTCCCTAAGACCAAGGACTCCAAGCTCATTAATGGATAAACTCGACTGAGTTAAACTCCCACATGAATCCCCAGATACTGCTTTTGCCAAAGAGTCACTTCCAAGACAGGTCTTAAATGTTCAGAGACATAAAACGCACACTCTCACACACACTTAAAGTCTTGCAATAATTAATGATACAATCCATAAGGAACCCCCTCCAACCATCCCTGCAGTGTGCAACTGGAGTCACGTAAGACTCAAGTTGAAATAGGACTCTATCCTCGTATTTACAGGCCTCAAGTCCCATTTGTCAGTGATAGCAGTTGGTTAATGTTGTCAGAGTTAGGATTTTGGAATGTTTTGATAAAGAATAAACAAGGTATATGAGGGGATATACTTTTCGCCTTTAAGCCATCTACAATACTTGGTTCTTTTTGATTCTGAGATGTTAATATCATTAAAGCAGTTACTGATTCGTCTCTGAATCACCTTTGGAGCTGAGACTGAATTTAACTGACATCCCCAAGCCTCCATCAGTGGTGGGAGGAGGAACACAGAGGCAGGCTGGTGTTTGGGTGTGGGCCAGTTTAAAATGAGCCATCACACAGAAACTGTGGACATGCTGCTGAGTGACTGCTAAGGGCACTGGGAGTCTTTCCAGCAATGATGAGTAGGAATTCTGAAAAAAGCCTTTAACTTTTTGATAATTCTAACATCCCTGTAAGCTAAGTAATAATATACCACCTTTGTGGAATGATTTACAATTTACAGACATGTGATCTCATTGAGTCCATTCTCCCACTCTCTCGGAGACACTATGAAGTAAGAGAACCACCACTTTGAGATAATACCAGAGCAGCCGGGAAATCTCCACCACGGGTGATGGATGACTGAGGATTGACTGGGCCGTTCGACCTCCCCCTCATGTGGGCTTTTGTGATTAATTCACCTACTTGCTTAGGAAGTTGCTTTCCATCTGAGAAAATTAAAAACACCACTCTCTGGACAGGAATGTGGGATCATAAATGAGAAGCAAATAGAAAAGATTTACACAAAAGCACAAGCTCAGCAAAAGAGAAAACTCGGAAATTGCTAATATGGTATAAATCAAATAACGGCTATTAGCAAACCCCTGGTAAGGGGGGAAAAAAGGCTTTTAAATGATTTGCTGAGCTCTTAACAATACCATTTCTACCTATGGTGTTCGAATATCTCCGGGGCAATCTGACTTGCATTCTTCAGCACTGCCGTGAACACTTCCCAGTTGGAAAGGATTTAGATAAAACCATATAGAGTGCCAGAAAATATACCTCACTATTGTGCCTTCAGAATTACATAATTTTTAGAGCTGTAGAGTCTTCCTCATCTATGCATTCCTCCCCACAAGCACAGGGGTCAAAAATATTTGTTTAATATGTGAACAAGTGGGTGGAGAGACAGATGGAAAGAAAGGAAGAAGGAAGGGTGGATGGGTGGATGGATGGATGGTTGGATGGATGAAGACCAACTCACTCATCTTACTGATGAGGAATGTAAGAGCCAGGGGGTTACTAATCTGCCTACATTATTTTTTTAAATGGTGTGAGAATTGGGACAACCAGATCTCTTCAAGTCCAGTGTTCTTGATCTAGATTTTCCCATCTTCCATTGGTTTATCAATAATTTAAAAACATTAACAGTATTGACAATATGATCTTCTTAGTCATGGGAAACCATTTCTGGAGGCCCATAGGCTAATGTATTTGTGCCCATTTGATGATCGGGAAATTAGACACAGAGTGCATTTTCTATGGCTATGAGTTCATCAAGAGCGAGAAAACACGAAGGCCACTCAATTGCATGTGAATCTCCTGCCAAACTCACTCTCTGAAAGTCACCCAGTGTGTGGCCCAGCATCGCGATCAGGGCTTGTGAATGGTTGGAAACAGAAGGCATCTACAGGTCCTTGGCCCAACCTTATATACCCTAAAAAGGAAATCCTTGCCCCAAATGTCCAGCAAACAATTATTGTGCCTCTGCTCAGACACCTTTAGTGACTTAGGAACATATTACTTTTTAGGGTGGCCTCCCTTTTGGAGAGACACATTTGTTAGTATCTTGAGTTTTGCAATATTTCAGTTCCTATTGGTTGGTACTTTCACTTTGTGCACAGATCCTTGGTTTCTGTCATTACACACTCACAGAGCCACTTCCTCCACAAAGACTTGGTGACTCCCTTGAATTATGCTTAAGAGGGAACCACAAGCAGAAAGATGCCCCTGAAGGCTCTGTGCAAATGGGGGCGATGAGCATGAAGAATCAGTCACTTGCTGTGAGAAGATGCCTCCTGATGGCTCGCATGAAATGACAATACCCAGATGAGCTGTGTGGTTCTATCCAGTCCTTGTTTCAAGGGCAACTCAATGCCCTACAAACGATTTCCCAGGGGGCCCACAAGGCTATTGCTTGAAAAAGCACAGACACATTCTTTAAAAATTCCTCCCTCTACTAGGTCTTTTAAACTGCATTAGCAGGTATCCCCTCACACCATGCTTGTCCCCTGGCCAGCAAGTCTTCACAGAGATGAGTCATAGGGCTGCCCACAGCACTTATCTCTCATCCCAGTGTCTCCTTTCAGGAAACCCAGAGAGCAAGCTTGGGTTGGAACGTTCCATGAAAGTCAGTGTTTATAAGGTTTCAAGGTATAAGAAAGAAGATAATATTGTATCCAGCACATGCTTCCCCTTACTAATGAGAATCTTCTTAAATTAGCACAGAGTTCTAGTTTGGGATAGGCTCTTTAGAGATATAAGAACACATCTGAATCTCTAATCAATCTAATCATCTGATCTCTAATCCAAGGTGCATCTGTTTCCACTTCATTTGATCACTCCAAATAACAGAACCGTCTCGCTCTTTTCTGGTTGAGCCAAGTCTGGAGAGTCAGGAAAGCATTAAATAAGGAAGAGCATCATAATTTACCAAAGCAGATAAATCATTTCATTTACACCTCTAAGATCTGGTAAGGTGATATGATGTCAGAGGCAGAGACACCACAAACCCCCAAGCTACTGACTTCAGAGACACCCTAGGGCCAACCCCGGGGAAAGAAACACCTTCTACCCAGCACCCTCTAAAGACATGCGGCCCATCTCAACTCTGCCCAGTGAGTTTACATGTGGCCCATCTCCACTCTGCCCAGGCTTTCAGATGGCTGGCTCCTGGGACTGCCTGGCAGCTGGAGCCGTAGGCTCAAATAAAAAACACTTGCTGGGACAGGAAGATAATTAGCGATTTCTAAACACAGACAGCATCCATCCCCACCATTCCTCAAGGAAGAGGTCAGCCCTCGCACCATGTAGCATTGCCATCTGGCTGCCCATGGCTCTCTGGAGTAGCACAGGCCACTCTTGCTACTTGGGAAGGAATTACTTTTTGGAAGCTTCCCTGGGTGCTCTGACCAGAAAACCAGGGACTCATCTGGTTCCCAAGACACACTTCAAGCTATGCACACTCTCGAAGCAGATGGAAGCGATGGGTACTTGCCCGGTGGAAGGGTTCATGATGCAGCCTCCTTTCTCAGCCGCCATTTGACAGCTACAGCCCCTCTCCAGTGTATCATGATTCATCCCGAAATTGTGGCCCAGCTCATGTGCAAGGGTCACGGCTGCACCAAGGGGACTGTCTGAATGGTCCTCAAAGAAAACACAAAAGCACAGGTGTATAATTCATGTCTCCTTGGCCTTATTTCCCAGGCCTCCCTCCCCACAGAAATATACCTTTCATTAACATTTGACTTAGTGTAATTCCTTATAAGGGACCAACGTAAAATGCTATCATTTAGTTTAAACTTAAAAAAGATATAATTTGACATTTCAATTAAGCCAGTTTGGGGTCCTTTCTGCTGAGGAATGTCTGTATGCCACACGTATACATGTGTGATTCTTCATGTTTTTATATGACATCTTCAAGGCAGGGTCTCCATTCTGCTTCCTACAATTGCCCCATAAAACTCTTCCATTGAATGAAGCAAACAGTCATCCTGCACCACAGGAAAAGCTCATTCCTTCATGGACAACAGAAGTATCATTTTACCCTTGATTGAGATGATGCTGATATAAAGGTGACAGGTGCAAGCACGCTTTGTGACATTTTAAATGAGCTCTAAGAGCTTGTCATTGAGCCTGCCTCTTCCTGTGTGCTTAGTCGGGAAGGATAGTTGGAAAATTTCACAATATTTCATAATAAATCTGAACACACTGAGTCATCTGTTTGAAGAGCCATTCATTTAAGATTATAATCCAGTTATATCTTATTCTTGCTGGCCCTTTGTGTTGCTAGGCAGACTTTGGAAATGGGAGATGTCTCGATTCTCTGACTCTTGTGACTGGCGGTTCATTAACCTTTTGCTTGGATGTGGAAGGTGGTTTCTCCATTCAGCAAGCACTACTTGGCCACCCCTAACTTAGTGGAGTGCCTGGATGGCTTGGCTCAAACAGATACTAGAAATTAACTAAAAAACAGTTACTTAACTTTTACAAACTGAAATTAATTAGTGTACATGATCTACAGAAACAGTGCCTATATACAACATTTCTGAAAAGGCCTGTATACCACAGAGTAAGGAAAGTACCTTGTTTGAATCTTGCTTTGTGCTACTTAGGAAAGAGATAAGATGTTTTCCAAGAAACAGTGCTGCTATGGTTTGAATGTTTGTTCCCTCCAAAACGCATGCTGAAGCTTAATCCCAGTATGGCAGTATTGGACGTGGGGCCTTTAAAAAGTGATTGAGTCAGGCCAGGCCCAGTGGCTCACGCCTGTAATCCCAGCACTTTGGGAGGCCGAGGTGGGGGGATCACGAGGTCAGGAGATCAAGACCATCCTGGCTAACACGGTGAAACCCCGTCTCTACTAAAAATACAAAAAATTAGCCAGGCGTGGTGGTGGGCGCCTGTAGATCCAGCTACTAGGAAAGCTGAGGCAAGAGAATGGCGTGAACCCGGGAGGTGGAGCTTGCAGTGAGCTGAGATCGTGCCACTGCACTCCAGCCTGGGCAACAGAGTGAGACTCTGTCTCAAAAAAAAAAAAAAAAAAAAGGGTTTGGGTCATGAGGACTCTGCCCTCATAATGTATTAATCCATTCATGGATTAATGGACTAATGGGTTAATGCATTCATGGGTTATCATGAAAGTGGGACCAGTGGCTTCATAACAAGAAGAGGAACCTGAACTAGTTTGTTCAGCTCCCTTGCCATGTGATGCCCTGCACTGCCTTGGGACTCTTCAGAGAGTCCTCACCCACAAGAAACCCTATCAGGTGTGCCCCTCTACCTTGAACTTCTCGGCCTCTGTAACTGTAAGAAATAAATTCCCTTTCTTTATAAATTACCCAGTTTCAAGTATTCTGTTAGAATCAACAGAAAATGGGCTAAAACAAATGATACTGCATTTCAGAGAGCACACCGATACAGACAGTCTGTGTGAGGCTCCTGGATAAAAGTGTGCTCATGCAAGATCTTACAGGTGTGTTGACAGTGTTTACAACAAGCCTTCGGTCTAAGAAAACAATGGCATGTGAAGGAACCAAGATGAAATTCCTAATAAATTACTTTGTTTAGATTTTAGAGTTTCCTGTTGTAGGAATCTTTACAAATATGTTTCAGGAAATCGGTTCTCAAAAATAACACAAAGGTGAAGAGAATGTAGTCAGTCTAAGAACATGGGGGCTGAAGTTAGCACGCTCTGGCACAAAATTCAAGAAATTTATCATTAAAAAATATTCTTCTGATTCTTTTGTGTCATTGAATATCTTGGTTTTTAGTTGCCAGATTGTTTTGCATTCTTTCACGCATCAATGATTATAAACAGAATGTCTCTTAAGAGACCTTGATAAACAGTTTACATTTGTAGTAAGAAAAAAAAAATCTTTTTATTCATGCTATTAATATTATTTCTAAACCAAGGCTGTTTTAGGCCAGTTAACTATAAAGGAATGACTTTCAGTTACTGAAATTAATGATTTGCTATATTTTGAAAAATACAGAAATGGCACTACAATCCTATTTTCAATTTTATGAGGATCTCTGCTTCCTTGCTACATTGCTTCCTTCCTCTTAGATTTGTGAGTCCTCGAATGAAGCATAGTCACACGGGATACCCGTGAGTGTAACTTTAGAGACACAGGAAAAGAAAGTGAGTCTAGAAGTGTTAGGTCCGGTCAAGATGTTGATCTTGCTGATTTCATGACTTTTGTAGAAATCAAAGGTGCTGAGGCATTTTTATCCTATTTGATGTTTCTGTTATATGTGGTACGTGTAAGCAGTGTGTCTAAGGATGATGCTAGCTGCTGTCAAATTGCTAAAACATATTTCCTGATAATTAACTTTGATCTTCACTTGATTCTTATTGCATTACACAAAATTTCCTTATATTTCCCACATTCATTTTCATATATCTTTTAAAAAATAGGCTTCCCTGTATCCTCCTAAAGAAGGAATTTTGATCAAATGCTTGTATGGAAATAGAATAAGGGACATGCCCTGAAGAAAGCCACTTACTATGGTGACATGGGTTATAGGCCCATTTCAGCACTGCACAGCAGCAGAACTTACCATGCTTATGAAGAACTGAGTTTCAGCTCTAAAAAAAATATGATGCCAACTTTAAGTGGCAAAGTCAGTAGCAACGGACCATGGAACCATGAAACAGAAAATTATTGCCTCTTAAAAATGTGCAGTCTGCTCTGTAAAAATAGAGTTGGGATCTGACTTGAAATGAACCTGGCATCCACAAAAACCAAACGCGCCAAGGACTGCCATGGTGGAGATCACATGCAGGGCCTCCAGGTCCACAGAAAACAAGGGAGTCACCGCTCAAGCCAGAAACCAGTAAGCGGGGGCAATCCCTCCACGCAGCTTTGACCCTTAGTGCAGGCTTACATGAATGACCACTCTCTGAGCCCAGAGAGGAGGGAAATGTTGGTTCCGTATATTCATGAAGATCTGGTTAGGCAGTATATGGACAGAAAGTAATCATCAGCAGAACATGACTCCTTCCACCATGTAATACAACCGAACATTCACACATGTTCTGTTCAGAAAACATGGAGGAACTGACAGTTTCTTGGGAGGGCAGGGTTCTGTTTGTTTAATGGAGATGGAGGAATGGTCTCTGAGGATACTCCCTGTCTGAGGTCTGCTGCGGAGGAGACACTAAATTTTCAGAGTGGGGACAACATAGGGTGAAAACCTCTCCTTTAATTATGTGATGAAATGGAGCACACGCCCCCTGCTGGGCAAGCCTGTCAAAGCTACCTCCCTCCTACATTCATAATGAGTCCCAAATAGTCTTCCCATTGTATTTCCTTCCCCAAACATATATAGCTTATACATGACAAAATGATCCTTGTAAAGCAATAAACCTGGGTTTCTGACTTCCAAGAATAAGGTTATTTTAAAGACAAAGTGTATACTGGCCAGAAGGTATGTAAAGCATTTGCAGTGGTAAAGAGCTAAAAACCTCAGACTTTGGGCCATTGGGCTTGGAGACAGAACCATCAGAAAAAAATTCAAATGGGAATGTCTGGTGAGACCACAGGGCGTCCCAACAGCTGCATGATGAGGGCAACCCCAATGCCCTGGCTCACCCCAGTGCTGGGAGGAATTCCTGGTTTGGAAAGTCCCGGTTGAAAATGTTTCTCCATAAAAGAGGTAGGCTTGCCTCTGCTGAGATATTTTACACGCCCACCTTTCCTGTGTGCAATTTGCTTTTAAACAGTTCCTAAAATACTGCGGGATATATAAAATTATAAATACAGCTAGAGTAAAACCAGAGTTAAATCTAAAAAGCGTTAAAGGAAAGGATCTATCTTCACAAAGTCTGATAAAAGTAGTGACTTCCTGGGGAATCATTAACAAGGGGAACCAGCTCCCGATGCCCTTGGCTTACCATGACAATTCCCCCAGACTGTTCCGCCGTGCACATGCTCATGATTGGGGCCATGCCGATGATGGTCCCTTGGAAATAAACCCCACTAGGAAATAAAAGAGAGGACTTTCTTTAATCAAATTAGAATGGGGGCATTCTCTAATATTTAAAAATTCTGTTGGATATTCCTGCAATAAAATATGCAAAAATAAAAACAGCTGTATGAGGGTATATTCACATGTGATTTTATCTTTTTTCCCTGAAAATTTTATTTCTGCAGTTGCCTCATGTTTCCATCATCTTTTAGAGTTTTGTTTTCAAGACTCAGATGACAACCAGTTATTACTTTTGTACTTATGAGTTGTAATCTGCCTATTTCCTAATGGACTGTAGGAAGCTGCTCCATTTAAACAATGTCTGCTGATGGAAAGGCTGAAAATAGTCACAGAGAATCACTGTTAACTAAAAGAAATACATTAGATGGTTTACTAGATTTTCCCTGTAGCTTAACTGCTTTCCTGGATAACTTACTACAGTTCCGCCAGACACCAAAACTCCTTCAAAATGTCCTGCTGAGATAGCTTGCAAAATTGAAATTGGCAGAAAAATTATCAACCCTGGAGCCAGTGTAGAACAAGTGAGCACCCGCAAAACCTTGGCACCTAGGCAGGAAGCTTCTGGAAGGGGACTTCATGGCTTCAATGCAGTTGTCCTTCTATCTGGAATCTTAACCTGATTATGACTCTAATGACACCAAGGGCCTGTTGAACACAAGTGCTGTTAATTCCAACCTCATGCGTGAAAAAGAAAATGTTGTATTTGCTGAATTTCCTTTAAAGGAGTCAAATGACTTACCAATACTCTTGGCCATGTATGTATACAGATATATTGTTTGAAAAGTTAGATATTTTAGTTATGGTCAATTGAACAGAAAGTGGTAAGTATATATAGAACCTTCTCCCTCCCTCCCTTCCTTTCTTCCTCCCTCCCTCCCTGCCTCTCTATCCACCTATCCTACTATACTTATATTTACAGTAGTAGAAATTTCCGCCTTTATTTACATCTATATAGACTACATGAACAGATACAATTATACACGTATGTAAATAATAAGGTTACATAAAATAATAATTTATTTCCAGATGTTCAAGTTGGACAGACTCCATTTGGGAAAAATATCAAAACACTCTGACTCGAAATACACAAAATGTACTTTTAGTAGTTCAAGACTAATCAATGCATAAAATGTGAGGCAACCACAAATATCCAAGGGTGGGGGCAGGGGGGAACCCTGTGAAAACGGCCAAAGTAAATTATCAAGGAATGCCAACAGCCTCAGTTCAGACGTAGGCATTTTCTAAAGTGACAATGGGGTAGGACTGGTTTTTTAACTTTCCACAAATGTTCAATAGCTACCTTGGGTTTGTCAAGGGAAAGAGTCTGTGTCCCAGAAGGTATCCTTTTCTCTGCTATAAGCCACATGACGATAAAAGAATAGTGGCACAAAGTATTTAAAGATTTAAATAAAAATTTATCGCTTCTCTGGAAACCATCATTCTGAGCAAACTATCGCAAGGACAGAAAACCAAAAACCGCATGTTCTCACTCATAGGTGGGAATTGAACCATGAGAACGCTTGGACACAGGGTGGGGAACATCACACACCGGGGCCTGTCATGGGGTGGGGGGAGGGGGAAGGGATAGCATTAGGAGATATACCTAATGTAAATGACGAGTTAATGGGTGCAGCATACCAACATGACTCATGTATACATATGTAACAAACCTGCACATTTGTGCACGTGTACCCTAGAACTTAAAGTATAATAAAAAAAGCAAATAAAAAAAATTGTCGCTTCTAGAAACATCTACTTCATACCTATTTAGATTGTTGTAAGATTGTTCCTTTTAAGTATAAAGGCATCTGCAACATCCCACCAATTTTTGTGCTATAGTTATAATAGAGCTATGCTTTCCCTTAGTTTATCATCTTCCAGTTGATTACACTGAAGCTGTCCTCTTTCTTGTTGTCTCTCAGTAGAGTGGAGACTTCTGAGAGCAGGGAGATTTACAGTGTTGGTCACCACAGTGTTCAAAGCCCCCGAAACACTGTTTGGTTCCTAACAGGTACTCGATGCATATTGGTTGAAAGAGGGAACACAAGGTAAATGTGCTATACTTCCTGATAGTCTCTCATCTAGAAAACCAAAGAGTCACAGCCACAACAGGAGGAGGAGTGAAGTCTTTTTTCCCTCCAGGAATCTGACAATATTCACCCAAAGTACTGTCCTTAGATCTTGTATAAACACACATTTTCCACTAATAATGATGAATCTTTAAAAACAGGCTACTTGGTCAGGCGTGGTGGCTCATGCCTGTAATCCCAGCACTTTGGGAGGCCGAGGCGGGTGGATCACGAGGTCAGGAGATCGAGACCATCCTGGCCAACATGGTGAACCCCTGTCTCTACCAAAAAAAAAAAAAACAAAAAACAAAAATTAGCTGGGCGTGGTGGCACTTGCCTGTAATCCCAGCTACTTGGGAGGCTGAGGCAGGAGAATTGCTTAAACCAGGGAGTCGGAGGTTACAGTGAGCCGAGATCACGCCACTGCACTCCAGCCTGGCGACAGAGACAGACTCTGTCTCAAAAACAAACAAACAAAAAACAAAACAAAAAAATAGGCTACTCAGAACAACTTTACATCATAGCTAAAATCAGAAAAATTGGTACAGAATAAAATGTCCAGGTTCTGGAAGAAGGAGATGAAAATTCTGTAGAGGGACAGGTTTCCCAGGGTGTTCAGAGGGGGACTTTTCTAACAGACCTTCAGTTTCAGGTGAGGGTGGCATCTGCCCCCTGGTGTGAGCTGAGAAGCCCCCTTATACAAGGCAGTGTGCTCTGCAGAAAGGTGGCAGCTCCCGGGGCTGTACAGGTGAAACTAAGGGCTTCGCCGAGCGCACTCTTGTTTCTAAGCAGACAGAAGACGGAACTCCCTACCTGACAAGCTGCGCGTTGTCATGGGATTTGCGAGGTAGAAGCTTCATTTTCCTCCAGTCCAGAAATTCATGGAGGCTGGTGAACGGGTCCTGACTTATAGAGCATTTGTCGATGTCATTCCACACTTCCACGCCTACCAACACGACCCGAATGTTCAGTGGTCTGTAAAACTAGGCGAAACAGGCAAAACTGGCATTGGAGTTGGGATCACGTTAATGAAAACTCAAAATGAAAATTAGAACAGATTTGCGTTATTTGAGGTTCACTGACACAGGTGAGAAAAATATCTCTGTGCTCTTTGGTTCCTGTGGTGTTGGAATTTAAGAAATATTTGCAGTGCCTAATGCAAAGTGATGTGTTAACTAGGTTCTCGAAGGTTGACCAATTAGATGCTGAAGTGATTAGTTTTGTACTGTCTGCTTTCATTTGTATGGAAGCACTCATTTCAAATGATTCATTGGTGATTTAAAATGTGCATACAGATGTATATTATAGCTAAAGATGGCCAGTGAATATCCACTGCGAGTGAAACAATAAGTGAATTAGGATCTTTCAGACGCTTCTGCCAAGGACAATAACTTGTTCATTTTGAGCAAAATGTTCTGCTTGTGAGTTACTGAAAATGAATCTGTATTAATTTTTCAGCAAAGTCTCAGCCTTGGCCAACACTATCATATTCTGTCACCTATAATCAACGTAGAGGGTTTTAATGAAATGAAGAAGTTAGTATCTTTCAGAATAATGAAGGCATAAAACAGAGTCCTTCTTCAGGAACACTAATGACTATCCTCCCAACAGCCAGAAGTTAGCTCACCAGCACTGTCATGGAAAGATCTGTTAAATAAAGTTCCGCTTTTAAGGGCCTGTGAAACAAAGCAGCTGGCACAGCACTGAAAGCAAGACTTCTCACTCCCCTGCCTGCCGCCACCATCTTTGGGTGTTCCTGACTTCAGCCTACAGCCCATACCTGACTACACCTACAGGTAGGTCGTCCTGGGTCAGAGCAGAGAAAAGCAACTCCTCCAGGGACTAAGGGATGGCTTTGTCTCATAGGAGTTCAGAGGGCCAGCATGAGTGGTCAGGGTAAAGGTATGACCTACCCACCGTCCTCATAGGCATTACATAGACAAGGAGATGGTTTTGTACTCATGGCTGAGGGGGCGAGGACATGGTGTCACCTGGTTGGCTGTCAAATCTTTCAATGCCCCTGGTGTATGAGGCAGCACACAGGGAGAAAGCCCTCATCTTCTGAGATCCCAGGTAGCCAAGGAGAAAAGGGTGGCTAGTGACAGCAACCAAAGCCAAGCACCAGATAAAAGCAGGTCCTATTCTCAGTTGCTAGAAGCATCTGGCCAATAACAAAACTTATAGAAGTTCTGCATTTGCTAGTTAGGCACTATTCCAACATGGTGAACTAAAGTACAAGAAAATCCTCAAAGTTGAACATCTGACCCTAGATTCTAACCCACATAAGGCAAGCTCAGCTTTTCCCTTGCTGGTCCCCACAGTCATCTGGTGAGCATTGGGTTAGCAGGAGAATATGACCGGGGTACAAACTGCATTGCAGAATATATGCGGATTGCATTGGTCCAACTTGGTTTCAAACAGATCACAATTACAGACATTACATTAATGAGTTAACGAGACAATTACATGACTACAACACAGTCCAACAGTTTGTTTTCAATCAAGAATTGCATGGCCCACGCCATCTACTTGCAAACTCCCAGCCCAGGCTTCCGGGGCAAAAATAAGTTCCTGGCTGGCTCTGGAACTCTCCGTGCACATGTTTGGCTGCTGTTCACTGAGAGATTACATTTTCAGTTCTATTATATACAAAGGTAACAGTGATCAGAAAGCAGAAACGGAGGTGATCCAATGCTGACGCGTATACCAGCTTGCTAAGAGACGTCCTCGGAGTCAGACACCTTGCGTGGGCTCAGGGTTGTCATCTGGGAAGGAGACACTAGGTTTGCCTCCCAGGAGTGTTGCATGGAGGCAGTAACGAAGGTCTGCAAAGGGCTAATTGTCATCATTCCTCAGTGCTAGGTTTGCTGCTTCCTAATCAAGGAGCTTTTCATGATAATGATGGGTTTTGCATTTCCACCTACTAGGCCTCTCAAACCACATCCTTAGAACAGATTTCATACTTAGTAGTAATATAACAGACAATCTCCCCTCTCCAAAATTAGTGCCATTGTTTGACTGTTATATACGCTAAACTCACATCAAGTCATCATACATGATGCCTTTACTGCCTGCTCTGAAATTTTTTCTAGGGCTGCTGACGGGTTCCTTTTGATTCTTCCTAATAACCACCACCACAGCTAATGTGTAGTGAGCATTACTACATCACAGGCATGATGCCACGGTGCTTTCTGTGCTGTGGCTTAATCCTGAAAACAACTCTATGAGTTTAGAATTATTATTATTTCTATTTTATAGTCAAAGACAAGGAGGCTTGGAGAAGTCAGGTGACTTAAGATTGTGACTCCATGGCTGGGGTTGGAACACAGGCCAGCTAACCCTGATGCTCATGTTTGAAACCACTAGGTAACACTGCCATCTTCTGTGAGCGCTAAGACTCCCTCCCAAGATGGCCCACTGTGACCCCAGGCCCAGAGAGAAGCTCACGGCCCTCTGTGGTACAAATGGAGCTTGGCAGCTGCCTGCCTGACTTACAAAGCCCAGAACATATGTGGACACAGTCAGAGACCCAACTGAAGCGATTCACCTGTTTACACAACAGTAACAAATATTTGCTTGCCTCTTGCTGTGGGTTGGGCTGGCAGTGGCAGAGAGAGCAAAGATTAGGATGCCCTCGCCCCTGCTACCCAAATGCTCAGAGGTCACCAGGAGCTTAAGGCATAGCACACTGAGCTGTCAGTTCAGTTAACTCCAGTAGAGTGAACTGCCAAGCAGTGGTGCATATACGAAGTCCAGGGACACTGCACTGGAGACTTTCGGGAAGAAACAGTGAGGCAGAATCCCCTGGGGTCTAATGAGGGAAACTGCACCTTTCAGGCAACTGGTTTGGGACAGGAGGGAAAGAAAACTGTCACATGAGTGAAAATACCCTAAGAAATTAAATATACAGAGGCTGGGCATGGTGGCTCATGCCTGTAATCCCAGCACTTTGGGAGGCTGAGGCAGGCAGATCACTTGAGGTGAGGAGTTTGAGGTCAGCCTGTCCAACATGGTGAAACTTCATCCCTACTAAAAATACAAAAATTAGTCAGGCCTGGTGGTGGGTGCCTGTAATCCTACCTCGGGAAGCTGAGGCAGGAGAATCGCTTGAACCTGGGAGGTGGAGGTTGCAGTGAGCCAAGATGGCGCCACTGCACTCCAGCCTTGGGGATAGAGCAAGACTTTGTCGAAAAAAAAAAAAAGAAAGAAAGAAAAAAAAGAAATTAAATACATAGGCGATGAGTCCTTTCAGAAGCAGTTCCCTGAATTTGCAGCTGACACTAGCTTCCTAATGAATAAGGAGGACAGACTGGAGGCAAAGGGTGGAAGATGCAAACCCCACGATAGCTCCATTGGCAGGTGCATTCCCCGGGCTCCTGTGGGGATGTAATGAGGACCCAGGGAAAATTCTCAGCATCTGGCCTGGAAGCATGAGTGTCAGACATGCCTTCTGTGTTTTGCTTATGGGAGAATTTCCTGAACATTCCAGAATGTCACCTTCGTCACTAAACCACTCTTCTGTCTTCTAGTCTGGGATGTCCTCTTTCTCCACGCAGCCAGCAGTTATTAATTTAGAATGGTCCAGGAGAGCCAAGACTTCAGCAAATGAGGAAGTTGCCACTGGCACAGTCATTGTTTTCTGGGATAAGACACTTTCATTTGTAGAGTTGAAAAACTGAAATTGAGAATTGTGTAACAGAGCTGGGAGTCATCTGTTAATAGACTTGGAAGCACCAAGTCTCCCAGGGAGTCTGGGTATCTCCTCCAAGGTCTTTGGTATCTGCTGGGGATGGACAGGGATGCCAGGGCCAGGGGTAGCTGTGTGCTCAGCAAATCGGCTCTCTCCCTGCCAGAAACACAAGGACAGCCAGGCTGGCAAACTCCATGCAGTCCGTTAGGACTTTTCCAAGGCACGGTGTTTTCTAATTACCAGTATGAGTTATTAATAAACCCCCAATTGCTCATTTTTGGTTTTGCAAACTGAAGCAAGATATAACCTAGAATAAATGTAAAGAAATACAAACACAGAGGACCCAAACACATCCCTTTTTAAAAATGGGGCTTCAGCAATTTTCAGTTTGGATTTAATATAGTTTATCATTTCCTTTTGCTCCTGAGGTCTAAGAAGAACTCGTGTTCTCTCCTTATTGGACAGTCTGAGGATAGCCCAAGGCCTTCCGGGCAACAATCCAGCTCTCTCGCCTCGGAATGGCACCTGCGCTCCCAGCTCAGGCACCTAAGCCTTCCGCCCTCCAGGCCAGCATGGCTCAGTCCCGCTTCACGTTAGGATAACTGGAGGACCCTGGAGAATATCTGTACCCAGGCCCCGCGCCAAGTCAATCAAATCAGAATCCCTGGGCCAAGGTGTGGGAATCAGTATTTCTAAAAGTAAACATATAAACAAATAGACAAACAAACTCCCCTCCAGGCGTTCTAATGTCCAGCCTAGACCGAGGTCCAGTTCTAACTGCCACGCTATCTTCGATGTCTCCTCTAAGACCCACCCTTCATCCCCTTGCCAGGACTCGCCTTTCCCCAGGATTCTCCTGCACCTGGGCTTTGGGATAAAGTTGAATCTGCAAAGAGTAACTACTGAAAACACATCAACGGGCAGGGGTTGCCAGGGAGTTTGACCTACTTCAAAGGTGGACGAGGGCAATATCATCCCACGATATCAATGGCCATGTGGGTTTTTCTGACTTCCAGAAAGTTCCATGCAGCCATAGCCTCTCTCTGAGTGGCAAGCCCACATCTCTGACTGCTCAGAGTGCCCTTCAGAACTCCTCTTCCTGCTCCTGCTTTCCTTGGGTATGAAGCATCGTCTACCTGCCTCTCCACTCCAACGAAACTGGGGGTCACATGGCCTCCCACTCGCCCTCAGCCTCTGCTTGGTCATCATGAGGTCCTGACTCACAGCAGGTGGAGTAGAGTCAAAGCCAAGAGCCCTTGCCGCTGGGGTTCAGCAAGACTAGCACTCATCCCTCGTCCTGCAAATGACTAACCTCTGCCCATCTCAGCTTCCTCTGCTTTAAAAATAGGAAAATAGCACGTACCTGAGAGCATATGCAAAGCACTTAGAGCCTGACACACAGTAACTGGTAAAAATAGTAATCAGGAAACACATCCCTTCAAGCATCTCTCAGTCCTCGTCCTTCTCACATCCCCACTTCCCCTGCCCTGGGTCATGTCAGGCCTTTATCACTTCTTTTTCTTCTTCTTTTTTTGAGATGGAACCTCGCTCTGTCACCAGGCTGGAGTGCAGTGGCGCGATCTCAGCTCACTGCAACCTTGGCTTCCCAGGTTCAAGCAATTCTCCTGCCTCAGCCTCCCGAGTAGCTGGGACTACAGGTGCCCACCACCACGCCCAGCTAATTTTTGTATTTTTAGTAGAGACGGGGTTTCACCATGTTGGCTAGGATGGTATCAATCTCTTGACCTCGTGATCTGCCTGCCTTGGCCTCCCAAAGTGCTAGGATTACAGGCGTGAGCCACGGCTCCCGGTCAGGCCTTTATCATTTCTATGCAATAGGCTCCTCTCAGCCCTATTTGTCTTTGGTTACTCCACCCTTCACACTAACTGCAGGGATATCTTTCTACCATCCCATGTGTCTCTCTCCTGCTTAAAAACATTCACCTAGCTCTCTATTCACTGCAGAATAACATCAAGATGGCTTCGTAGAACAGCCGGGGCCCTGAGCACTGTGAATCTTTGCAGCTTCATCTCCTCCTGCCCTAGCTCTGCATGCATGCATTTGCATACAATATGAGCATGCATGTACACAAACACACATACATACATGCAGGGCACACATGTATGAACACACACATGAACACATATAGGAACACACATGCATGTACATGCACATGAAACACATACATGTCCACATCACACATACTCCCTCTTCTGCTATGCTCATGGTAAAACTGAACTTACCTTTTAGGATCCTCTCCCTGCAAAGACTCCCTGGCCCCGGGAAGAAGTAAGTGATCCTCTTCTGCATCCCCATAAACTTCCATTCATAGCATGGATCGTTCCTAACGCCTTGGACATGCTATGTGGGTTGCATGCCTGCTTCCCTACCAGCCTTGACGTTCTCAAGTAGAAGAACCACACCTGATTCATTCTGAATTATTGATGCAGAGGGCATAAGGCCTTGCAACACGGAGCCGAATTTCTGGAAGGGCCTTTGCCTTCATTTTTCTGAAAACTTAGAAAATGCAATTCAAATCGAATAAGATGGCTTGGAAACAAGGCTAGAGTGAGGCACCCTCACCAACCACTGTGTGTAAAATCTGCTGTTTCAGAAGACCATGGCTGTGAAAGGCTCAGCCATGACCAGATCCCTTCTCACACTGTCCCCGCACGCAAGAGACTCAGTATTCCTGAGAGACTATGGCTGCTTTAGGACAGCAGTTACCATCCACATTGCACATGAGAATTGCTGGGGAGCTTCTGAAAATTCTGAGGTCTAACTTCCTCCCCTGCGCTGCCCCTTGAAAGCAGCAATGCTTTCAGAAGCTCCCAGGGCAACTCCAATATGCGGGACTTGTAAGAAACCTATTTTAGGCTGAGGGTCATCAGCATCAAACAGCCAACATCCTCTCCAGCAGGATGCATTGAGGAAGGACAGGTGGTTTACACAGAGAGCGCTGCCATTTTCTTTGCCGGCCCACAGTGTGAGGAGCAGTTAGTGAACAAGTACCCCAGGAATAGGACCCAGTTTCCAGGGGCTCCTCCAGCAAGGAAATTATCTTTGTGAAAGGTGAGTTTCTGACCTATTTGTTCTTAGCAAGGGATTTTCTAATAGCTGATTGCGCTGAAAGTCAACTCCTGTGTTCCAGGACAGTGAAGCCTATGGATCCCTTAGAAATGCAAGCCCACCCTCAGGGTTACATTGGTACAGGTCTGCAATGATGGGGACAGATTGCAGGGGCCTGTGGGATCTATCATCGGGAGACCTGGGAGAGGCTGGCTCAGGAGCAATCCAAAGGCTCAAATGAACTCTGTAGGGGTTCTGGAGCTAACTGGGAAGTCCAAAACACCCTCAGACTGGTATTCCACCTGACCAGAAGACAGCCTGGAGGAAGACATGTCCCCAAGGCCACCAAAGTCCAGACAGCTGTGGTCTGGCATCCCCTGAAGCTGCCCCAGGACCCAGGAATTATACACTCAGAGGACAGGAAACAGTTCCAACCCAAGGCCCAGAGGCAGAATCTTGTCTCTTTGCTAAGTCAGATGAGGTCCCCCAATCTCATTTCCAAACATTTACATGATCTGAATGATTTAACTACCGAAAAAGAACTTACCTTGTCAACGTGATTAGCAATCTCTATTAATCGCTGCTTAACTTTTTCCAGATCTTTTCCTTGCCTCTGAAACTTAACAATTTTAAATGTCAGCATTAATACCAGCAAGAATATCAATCATGTCTCATCTTCCTGGCTCCTGGAAATGTGAAGTCTTGGGATTTTACAAACCACTGGGGACCCTCCACAGTTCATGGTGAAATGAGCTTGCATCCTGCTGAATATCTTTCCCGGCTGGGGACTCCCTGAAATTCCCTGAAATTTGCCTAAGCCAAGTGCTCTCAAGACAGCAACTTCTGCAATTTTCCAGCCTCATAAATGATGGAGGCAGTGACATGTTTTGGCAAAGAGGAAACAGACAACTAGAAGTCAGTCCAAAGCCATTTTTCATATCATCGACTTGATTTTAACTTCCTGAGAAATTTTCTTTGTATTTGTTTTTAAAAATTAAAAAGTAAAAGTAATAGAAGCTCATGGCAACTTGTCAAACAATCCAGAGGAGAACAGACAAAAAAAAAAAAAAATCAACAAATTTCCCATTCCCCCCTCTAATCTGACCTTCCAGAACGGGAATCGTTTTCTGAAAAATAATCAAGCCTGTGTTTCATTCATATGTGTTGAAAGAGTCTATGAGAAAATATTACCCAATCACCCAATTCATGTATGCCAATGAGGCAGTAAGTAAATACAGAGAAGATAATCTTTGGAAAAACTAATTCAAAATGAATTAAAATAAAAAACGGAGGTAGTATCAAGCCATAGCTCAGAGGGGAGGATTTTTCTGCTGTGTCTCTATGGCCTTCATTCATTCATTCATTCATTTTGATTAATGACATATGCGATTATTTTAAATGTGCCATTTTAAAGACTAAACTTTTCCCCAAAATGTCTTAGAATATAATCTAAAGCCTTCTGTCATTCCCCTCAGTTAATTCTCCTCGTTTGGAGTGCTTAGCTATAGGGCAACTCTGTTTTTTTTTTTCCTGCAGGCTTTGCCATTACTTTATAGATCAAATAAATTTTTAATATTGTATACTTTATAAAATCAGAAAACCATTGTTTCAATGGGTTGTTTCCACTGCTTTTAAGAGCACATAGGAAATGAGGTTCATTAAAGCAAGTAATAACTTGCAGAACATGTCCTTTTTCTTTTTTCTCTCAACAACCACACTGAGAAATTTCAAAAGGTTCTTACCTCTCGGTTGTCCGCCACGATCACCAGCTCCACATACTTGGTCGCCTTGAGGGTCTCCCTTTTATGCTGCCAAGAGTGAACATGCACTTAGTCTCTCTTAATGCCTCTCTGGGGCTTCTGGAACACCGCCAGTGTCTCTCAGTCCAAACACTTTAGGTTGAGACTCTATACCCCCATCCCCACCAGGCCCCCCACACCTCCATTCCACCTAGAAGTTTACCCCAGCTGCAACCATCTCTTTGTAAAACCCTCTCAACGTGAGCGACCAGCTTCCATTTCCACTTGGAAAACCCTTAAAAAGGAGTTTAACCTTTCTGCTGAATCATGGATTATTGGAGCAGAAAAAGTCAAGATTGTTAAATAAAACGAGCACATAAACAAACAGAATCAATGCACTCTCTAGAACAGCAGCCACTCAAAGGTCATGTATTTCAGACTACGTGTAGCACATTTGAAGCTCATTAGAGAAGATGACGGAGTTCAATGCATTGTGGCTGTTCCCTTTGTCTTTATGGTCTAAGTGTACCTGTTTTGAGACTTGAGAAAAGTGGAGGAGAATACATTTTGAACAGGAACCATAAAATCATTTTTTAAATGATCATATAAAAATCTAATTAGAAGCAATGGAAGACTGGGGTGGTCTGGAGAAAAGGGAACGGTCAGACTAATGAACAGAGAAGTGAGAAAGGTATGAGGAGGAAAAAGGAGCAAAAAGAAAGAGAAAGAAATAGAGTTAAGAAAAAATAAGACTGCAATATGCCCCTGGAGAACAGGGATTTCGTAAGAGTGAAACAGTTGAGAGAACATGGAAAGTGGATATGGAAGTGGATGAATGGAGATGATTCAGGCAGCAGAAATAGGAACCCGGTCCCCCACAAAGGCGGCTCCTGAAGTGGGTCACATTTTAATCAAACTTCCTCAAAAAGCATTCACACTCTTCTGCGAATTACTGGGAGAATTCCAAACGCATTTTTAAGAGAAATAAAGCAGTTCGTGGAGGGTGGTCTGGAAAAGCAAACATTAAAAACAAAAAACAAAGCCTCTGTTTCTGCCATAAGATGCAGTTGGAGGAAGTGGGGGTTGAGTTGGTCTTTGGTCCTGATGACTGATATTGCTGGTTTATGAGTTAACTACGCACACTGCTTCAAGGTAAAAACTTGCATGTTATAACCACTCTTTCAGACAAAGGCAAAAGAAAATCACGCAAGTATGCTTTGAGCCAGGTTTCCAGTCACATAATCCTGAGGGAAACATCTTTTATAAAACAAATCCTCATCAGCCCGGGATCTTCCAAACAGATTTTTACAAGAAAAATGTTTGTATTATAGCAGTGTTCCTTCTTGCTGCCCAGCTGTGCTAATTCACGAATTTAGGTGTTCCTAAAGATATCTGGAAACCTTACAGAAAAGGAAAAATAAAGCACCATGAAAGGTACAATTTCTCATACGTTTAAACGTTATGAGAAGAAATTGTCAGGCTTTGTAAGTATACCTGTAGGCATGCTTTATGGGGATAACTGTGCGTTACTTATGAAAGAAAAAACCTTTGTCCCCATGGTACTCACGGGTGCACACAAAATGAGTCACCTTCTGGACGTGTGAAGACCTTGCCCTTTTTCCTCATTGAGGCGTGAAAGAGGCAGAACCCTCTCTGTTGTCCACAATTCCCTGATTAACCATTGACAAATTTGGCTAATTATGCGGAAGAAAATAAAGCTCCAGAAAGGAAAACCTAATCTCTTGTTGAAAAACTCATGGAAAGGAATCTGGTTGTTTAGACGTTTACACTTTTCAGCCTGCAGAGGGGTGACATAAACGACCATGGGATATTTCCAACTGGCTTAGGATCGCCATTCAGAAAATACACAATTCCAGATAATAAAAACAAACATGTGAACACAATTTTCCTGTCTCTGCAATTTTCAGAGAAGTCTACATTTTCTCACGAATTCAGAGAACTGCAAGCTCAGAGGGAAGCTTAACCACGTAATAAAGAAAAGCACTGGGGGAGTCTTCGGCTCAGGGCAGAGGCTTATTCTACTGCTAGCTGCACACACACAGAGAGGCTTACATTATCCCCACGTGATTTCCACCTATCTGGCTGTCCAGTTAAAAACAGCAACAACAACAACAAAGAATCATGTTTTTAAATTTGTGATATGGAGAGCAACATTTGAAACTGGTTGCTGAAGACATGGAACCAACCCAAATGCCCATCACTGATAGACTGGATAAAGAAAATGTGGTCCATATACACCATGGAATACTATGCTGCCATAAAAAGGAATGAGATCATGTCCTTTGCAGGAACATGGATGAAGCTAGAGGCCATTATCCTCAGCACACTAACACAGGAACAGAGAACCAAGTGGGAGTTGAACAATAAAAACACATGGACACAGGGAGGGGAACATCACACACCAGGGCCTGTTGAGGGGTGGGGGATGAGGGGAGGGAACTTAGAGGACAGGTCAGTAGGTGCAGCAAATCACCACGGCACATGTATGCCTATGTAACAAACCTGCACATTCTGCACGTGTATCCTGTTTTTTTTTTTTTTTTAAAGAAGAAATTAAAATAATAATTTTAAAAAATTAAAAAAAAGAAACTGGTTGCTCGATTGAATTTTCATTTTGGGGTTATGAACAAAAGCCCTTCCTCAAATGAGAACAGCAGCCTCTGAGATTGGCCCAAAAGTCTCCGTTCCCAGGTGGAGGCAGTGGCCTTCTTTGAATCTTGCTCAAGAGAGAACCAGTTCCTGGGCCTCTCAAAGTCATCACAGCCAAGTTTCCAAGGATAAATATCCCCCAAGCAGCCTGCAGTGAGGACTCTGGCAATGGGAACTTAACTCAAGTTAGAAAAGCAAGTTGAGACTGGGGCTGCAATAAATCCTTATTGCAAATCTTTCTTCATATGGGTCATATCATTTGTATAACACTTACTCATCCCACGCTATCTACCAGGGATGCTGTTTGTGCTAGGCACTGTGTAGGGTGCTGGGGATACAGTGTGGACAGGAAACCCACGTTCCTGAAACCCAGTGTCCTCCTGAAACTCATATTCTGGTGGGGGCTTGGAGAAGGTGAGCCCATACAGAATTAACAAAAGTAAGAGAGAGTCTGTGAAAAGTACAACAAAGGAAATCCACAGGGTTCTGCAGGTAGGATGAAGGTGGGCAGTGGGCAGGCCTAAGGTAGCTGAGGCCTGAAGGATGAGAAGCAGGCATGTGTGGAAAGATTGCAGGAACAGTGTTCCAGGCAGATGGAAAGGCAACAGCAGATGTCCTGAGG